TGATATTAGTAGTTCGTTTTCACGTAACAAATATCTGAAAATTTCTGATAAATCGCATTTCATTTTGTCTGAAAATTCCCGATAGTAGCATTTCGTTTCTCTGATATTTCGCAGACATAGCCGAAATTTCTGAAGTTAGTATTTCGTTTTCTAGGCATATTGGGATAACGATAGAAGTGGTCATATTCTCGGAAACCGAAATTATTCTTTTCTGAAAATCGAATTTCCATTCTATCTCGCAATTTTTTGAAAACCATCCATAAAACAAAAAAGGTATAGTAGGCAATATTAGGAGATGCAAGGCTCCCCACATTTGTGTGGCTAAGCAGCAAGCGCCTGTGTGTGCCTGTGTGTGCCTGTGTGTGTACCTGCGTGTGTGCATGTGTGTACCTGTGTGTGTGCCTGTGTGTGAGAGAGAAGAGGTACTTCCTACTGAGGGGTGCGCGACCTTGTGGGCAATTTGGAACGGTCAGTCTTCAAACGCATTGGACAACAAGGTGGTTTTCTGCTATGGGAGACTTAGAGCTGCCTGGTGGTGATCAGGACATGGTTGAAAGACTGGTGAGCATGCAATAGAGGAAATGCAAGCCTCAAATGGAAGCCAATTGGACAAAGACAAATCAGTAAGTGGGGGCTTTCAAAGAAGGCATTGGGCAGCAATGGGAAAACTGCCAGATCAGAAGCAGTGCACTATGCTCTAAGACTTGGGTTGAAGATCATCACACGCCAGACACATCGAGAAACACTGATCACATGTGTTGGAGCACCCAGGTGGAAGCATCAGTAGAACGAGAATACTTGGGGCATTGAACAACAACTACCTTCTTCCCCCAAATACAACGTACGTCGTACGGTCATTTTAGCTGTATTTGGAGTATCTTTCAGTCTAAATAGTAAATACAGCTATAGTGACCATACAACGCATATGTTGTATTCGGGGGAATAAGGTAGTATGACGAGGTCTACCTTTCATAAAGCAAAAAAAAAAGTGAACAACATACATACTATGTAATCTATAAGCAGATTAATCTGTCAGCAGTTAGGCATAATAGTCCTTCCATAATGGATTGAGTGGGTGGGTAAATTTTTCAAGAGGGTTTCCGGACCTAACTTTTGGTTTCTTAGCAGCAAAAAGTTTGTCTAGGCTCCTAGGGAAAGCAGCTGGCAGTAAAACCACTAGTCCACCCAACACTCTTATCCGATTCATTTTTTTCTGCACACCAATCCTTACCGACGCTACCGTACCAGCACAGGTTGCAATTTGACTGGCACCGCCAACCTTTTTTATCCAGTAGGCCGTACCCACAATTTTGCGGGGGATTAACCGGCCTGTCAGAATGAAATAGCTGGGAAATCGGCTGGTGGTTTAATCCTTTCTTCCTTTGGAGGAAGCAAGCAAGCTACAACAGCACTAGCAGCACTAACAGCCGTAACAGCAGTAAAAACAGTAACGGCAGCAGTTACAACTCTGACAAGCCTCTTCAAGTGTCTCCAACCACTCTGGCCAGACCTTTCTGCTCGAGCATCTACAAAGAAATGTGAGTAAATTTTTGACAAAAGTTAGCCAGTTGACTATCGATTTGTTCAGTGATTGTTTTTTGTTGTGCCCCCCACAAGTACATTACATGTAATTCATGATGTATGGAGGAGGCAGGATTCGAACCTACGTAAAAATATAACCTTCAACAGATTTACAGTCTGTCGCTTTTAACCACTCGGCCACTCTCCCGAAGAATCGAAAGAGTAAATGGAGTGAGCTGGGAGTCTGAATTTTGGAAGCTGGTCTAAATCCAGTCATTGAGTGGTTTCTTTAGGTCTTTGCCTGCCATAGTAACAGCAGTAACCTCAGTAACCACAGTAACCGCAGTAACAGCAGTAACAACAGTAATAGCAGTAACAGCAGTAACAAAGCAGTAACAAAGCAGTAACAAAAAGCAGTAACAAAGCAGTAACAAAGCAGTAACAAAGCAGTAACACAGCAGTAACAAAGCAGTAACAAAGCAATAACAAAGCAATAACAAAGCAGTGACAAAGCAGTAGCAAAGCAGTAACAAAGCAGTAACAGCAGTAACAGCAGTAACAGCAGTAACAGCAACAGCGGCAGCAACAGCAGTAACAGCAGGAATAGCACAGCAACAGCAGTGCGACTAACTGGAACACCCGTAGTCACGGTAGCAGCAATAGTATAGTGATAGCCGATAGTGTAGTAGTGGCAGTATGGCAGTAGTAACAGTAAGAAAACCTACAGTGATAGGCTCCTGTTGAACATGGTGGAATTTTGTGACAACGGTTTTGGGCCTCTTGGAGAGGGGTTCAAAAGATGAATATATGCAAGTCTGGCCTACAAAGAGTGGAGGAGGATCCTCGGAGCTTCTATCCTTTCTGGTGCGAATCTTCCCAACTTACTTTTGCTTTCTCTCTGTGTGCCAAAAATATGGACCTACACATTTTGCAATGTGTGTGGGTCATCCTCACACAGAGTCATGCTAAAATCTTCTGTTATGCTCCTTTCGTCTCGACTATGCTCCTTTCGTTCATGGAAGTATGGTGGGTTGTGCATGCCATTTCTTCTTGATATTTCTGAAATCATCCTCTGTGTTGTAAATTGTTGCCCCCCCCCCCCCCCCCCCCCCCCCCCCCCCCCCCCCCCCCCCCCCTTCTCCCCCGGGGCCTTTTTTTAAATTTCCCCCCCCCCCCCCCCCCCCCGCCCACCAACCCCACCCCATATCCTTTTCTGTGCTCGTGATAGTCCGTGGAAGAACCTCTTACATCCATTGCCTACCTTGAGGGTGTAAGCATTAACATCATTGCCAATAGCAGGCCTCTCTTCAGCAGCAACTATCTCTGCTTTGATTGGTGTCGCACTCGTTAGGACAGCCATTTTGTTGCCTTTTGGCAAATGGCAGTCGGCAGGTACATCCCCTTCCATGCTTTGATTGATGTCATCGAGCAACCCGTTGTCGTTGTCATCCCGATGGGCAATCGCGCCGTTCCTGAGATGCTGTTGCCCTGGACCAGCACTTTCCCCATCCCTCAACGAACCCTTTATATTCTTCGCATAAGAGCCTATGGTTTCTCTCTCCGCCCCTGACGTTATCCCATAACCCTCTTGTGACCACCCACCCTCGATGTTCTCCATGGACCTTGTCGTCACCCCGGTCCACTTCATTGGCTGTCTGCCTTTTCTCTCTCCTCGAGCATCTGTGACCGCAGTAGGTCTGTTAACAACAATATCCTTGTTCAAAGTCCCAATGCCCAAAGTCCCAACGATTCTGGTACATCTTTCGGTACTGGTGTAAAACCTGTCGCCCACATGCACTGCAACAGAATCCTTTCCCATGCGTCTCTCAGGAGAAGATGCTGAAATGCACGTCATGCTAGGCGGCATCATTGGCACACTAATAATATCCTTGCTATCTGGTATCATATGTAGATGAGAATCACCTGCTCCTCCTAGACTTAGCTCTTCTTCAGCGCTGATTGGCTTGTCTTTTACTGCAGGCTCCTCGTCAAATTGTTCGTCCTTTGTACAAGTGTGAGCGTCCAAATTGGCTCCATCATCGCCACCATCCATCATCTGGTGGCTATAATGAAAAGCAGAATTTTCCTCCTTTTGTCCGCATGAGAGATCCTGCTGCTTGGCAGCTGTGTTGGTCGTTGGTGTCTTCTCATCTGATTTCCCGGTGCTCTCATTGTTGTCCCTGCACCTGTCACCCAGCGAGTCCGCCGTGGTCAACTTACTTATCTTCCACGTTTTCAGAGATGAAAGCTGCCCAACATTCTCCGTCAACTTCCCCATTCTTTCTTTCTCATTTGACATTCTCCCTAGCTCACTGTCACCTGACTCCCCTACCCTTTGTGCTTCCTCACAGGATCGATGCCCACTTTCTCTATCTGGTTGTAAAGGTCCAATGATGTCCCCTCCCGTGCGCTTTGCATCAGTGCCTGAAGCCCGTCGGTCAGCATTGTCAGGAGCCATCCACAACTGGCCTTGTGACCTATGTGCATGCTTAGATAAAGCCACTGCATGACATGCTCCTTGGGTTCCTGAAGAAGAGAGGCCCTGCTCTTCAGCGACATTGCACCACCCATCTTCCTTCTTCCTGTCCAAGCCCTGCAAGCTGATTTCCTCCTGGCCACCATCTGCAAGAGGAACCGCCATAGCTGGTTTCTTTCCCATCAAATGCATATCACCATCATCAGTTTCACTGTCGCCGAGTCCCTTGGAGTCGCCTTTGCCAGCCTCCACAGCCTCGACAGCATCATGCTCATCAAATTCAATGCTGCGGAGTCCCTTGGAATCGCCTTCGCCAGCCTCCACAGCCTCGACAGCATCATGCTCATCAAATTCAGTGCCGCTGAGTCCCTTGGAATCACCTTCGCCAGAGTCCACAGCATCACCCTGACCAATTTCAGTGATGCCGAGTTCCTTGGAGTCGCCTTTGCCAGCCTCCACAGCAGTACTGGGATGTGCTTGTTTGTCAGGTGGATCACTAGAGCGGCGACGGACGCGTTTGCGTGGGCTTGTCTGTGGACCTGACACCTCATGCCTGTCCTCCTGAATATGTTCCGCTGAAACAACCTTAACAGCAAGATACCTCTTTCTCCTCTGGTTCTGATTGGCGCAAACGGCCCCGGAGCTCTTCACATCATCCCCTGGCCTACAACCTTCCGCCGTCATCTCACTGACCAGACACTGCTTGCTGTTGCTGTCTTCCACCTTGTCAGAAGCTTCGTCGGCTGTCTGAAACATCGCCAGCTCATCATCAGAAAGCTGTCGGAACAGCTGATACTCTGGAATCAAATGGGGTGAGCCTTTTGCAGAGCTAGGCATTGAAACCTCTCCTCTGGGACGCTTTGCTGGGGTGCTGACATCAGCACTCATCCCAATCCCTCTGCGTGATTGCTCACTGGTCGCTTCTCTGGTCCCTCTCTTCCATTTGCGCCTTTTATACGTCACCAGCACAAGTGGTTCACGTCCTTCTCGAATGCCCGTCGATGCTGCAGCTGCACTTCCATCTTTCCACCGCAGCGAGACCAACCATTCTCAAAAGGCAAAATCAGTTCATGACTTCATATTACTTCGTTAGCAAAAGTCTAAAATGCACGAGGGAGTCCAAGTGAGTTTCTTTTCTGTTTATTTTGGACTTCAATAAGTTTCATTGAAATTCATTCTCTTTTTCTCACCTTTTTTTAAAAAGAACGGGCCCAGTGCCCAAGGCTGATATTGATATTTGAGAAAATTGAGGGCCCGGGGTCCTCACATTCGACCCGGAGTGACCAGACAGAAAATGCTGAGAACCGGGCCCAGCGTCCCTTAGTAGTTGAGAATAGAAACTTTGTGCCTCTTCACCCACCCTGGGCGCCAAAAATTATTGACAACCAAGCAGAGAATCATACCCTTTGTCATTATGAATCAGAAGGGACATTCCTTTAACCTTACCCATACCACGAAGACAGAACCAGACAAAATTCTGGTAGGGGAAAGGGGTCCGGGAAATCGGATAGTGGTCTTAAAGGTATAGCAGAATCAACAGCACTCCAATCATTGAAGACCAAACGATAATTCCTTTGGAAAGACCCTTGTGAACTCTCATGTGCTCCTTCCCACACCACCTGCCCCAACCTCCCTCCCTGGTCTCCCCCAAGCCTGCTTCGATTGAACTGTTTAATATGAAACCAGATCTCATTTTGTAATTTTGCAAAACATAGACTGGATGCATTGTAACCACTCTTCAATCATCCGAGTTGTTAGAAGCCGTATCATGGCTCACTGCCTCCCAGTAAGCTGGGAAAGAAAAAGAAAGAAAAGACTTACAGATTCTACAATTAATAGCCCACGCAATCTACACTGAATAGCACGCACAATCACACCACTTCTTGTGTGTTCGTTCCCCTACCATCCCTCCCATCTGTGACATGCCAGGGTTCAATCGTTCCAGCCTCGGAGGAGTCGAAGCCCTGATTGCAACTGAGTGCCAGCCCAGCAAATCGAAGTCGCATCCCGCAGGGGTAATAAGATCAGCGCATCTCAACGACTGGTTGCACCATACATCTCCATTCTCTGGATATCAGACTGCGTCCAGGCAGCTCAGGTGCATCAGAGACTCCTCCTGGCCACACTTGGAAGTCCGCTGAACTACCGTCGTCACCCGAAAAGAGTGCATGGTCATTATCGCTATACCTAGACCGAAAAGTTGCCCTAAATACAGCTACAATGACTGTGCATTCTGTTCGGGTGAAGAGAGTACCAGACAAGACCTCGGCCGAGAGCACCATTGAGTTTCCGGCAGGTGCAGCTTCCCACCAACAGATTGGTCATTGAAGCCTCTATTTCTTATTATAAAAATAAAGAAACAAAAAAAACAAAAAACAAACAAACAAGCCACCAGCAGCTGAGGCCACTTCCCCCTAATGTGATGGGGCATAGCGACTACTGCCCAAATGCTGGTGGCGGACAAAACAGCCCCAATCCTTTTTTTTTCAGTTTGGACCATTTCTCGATTTAGGTGTGTCATCCTTGTGCAGGGGTCATGCTCATCTTCTCGGTATCGGTCAGGGCCAGGCTGGCAACCAGCCGGTTTACCTCCCCCAGTCCAACCGGTTCCGGATTGGTCCAGGGGAGGTGAAGCGGAAAAAACGGATGAGCGAAAAAAAAAGCCCAAAAACCTTTTTTTTTTTTTCTTTTTTTTTTTTTTTCCCGATTGCGGGATCTGACTGCGCTGTAACATCAATCCCCATGAGGCCGAGTTTGCCACGATTTATACACTTCTTCGAGAGTGTCATGCTCTTCAAGGAAGTTATTGGTTCAGGTATCAGCTCGTGTAGTCAGTGCAGATTCGGTTTGCTTTTTGGATGCGCCGTGGGTCATCAGTCCGAAAGTATCTCGCCTGGTAGTCTGTCCAGATACATGTAGTGGCACGTCCTACAACATGGCTGCTCTGATTCCTTGAGCGGAAACCCGAACGCATAACTTCTATCTCTATAGCACAAGGACGCAGGAGAAGCATATAAACTTGGCAAAGCCTTCAGATGAGTTCATGGTTTCAGTCTCCTGGCTGAGACGAGCTGATATTCTCGACTGCTCAGTCTGGTCCGTAGTCCATCAGACCACACGATCACGATTATAAATTATCTCCTCTGCGGGAGTTGAAGAAGAACACTTGTCCTCTACAAAATCGAGGAATCTGATCTGTAGAGGGTGTGTACTCCCCCTGCAATTTTCTCCCAGCAGGGGCGACCTCCGTAAGGACGCTGGAGGAAGCCAAACCGCTTTCCTGCCTGAATTCTGACCCCAGCCAAAATGCGCTGGGGTGGACCGGGAGCCAACCGGGACAGCTGACCGCCCGGTCCAGCCGGGAGGCTCGTGGTCGGGGGAGGTGTCCCCGGTCCATCCGGGGACCAGCACTGGTATCGGTCCAATTTTAACAGATGTCCCGAAGGACAAAACAGTCCCAATCCTAAACAAAGGGACAGTGGGGATAACCAATGGGTCTGCTGAGTCGCAGGACAAAGATTGCGTGAGTGTCGCCGAACTGGTAACAAGCAATAAAAGATCAGCAATAAAATAAAAAATAAGGGCCGAATGGTACCTAGTGCTACACACATGTAACCGTGCTTAAACAGTTCATGAGTTCCAATCCTGATAGAATCATCAGATACATATACAACAATGCTAGGGAACATGGGCGCTACCTCCTTTTCAAAAAGCAGGAAAAAAAAAGGACCTAAGAATCAGGCAAAGGAAAAGTAGGTACACTCAACCCCATGCTAAAACTAACCTCTAAGCCACCACTCTGCCCCACCTGCCCCCTAGTCTCCCCTAGACCTAATGGACTACCTATACCGTCCCCAAACCCAAGTAGACCGACCGGTTTTTGGTCTACATGGGCTTATTCCCAAGCTTCCCCCGGAGCACTTGTTACGACCGTCTAGGCTCGACTCTTACTTCGAGCCTAGCGGTGGAACTCTTGACTCTATTCGTGTTTTAATGAAATTATGTACTCATAAAAAATGGCCGGGAGATCCTGGCCTTACGGGTACCACCCTTGAGTTAGTTTTGTTGTTTCTGAAGCAAGTTCTTGGGTAGTGTATTCTTCGTGCCTTACTGAGGCCGAAGGCGCATCAGGGATTGCCTGTATCGCTCTGATGTTATATGCACCACCAGAACCATTCCTAAGAGTCCAAGCCATTACTCGTGGATATGCACCACCAAGCCATTACGCCAGATTGTTAGCCGTTCGACGTGTCACTATGGACAACTCTTCGACGAGAGGAAAAATGGCATTAGTTCGAACACTGAAGGTGCTATTACTATGCTATTAAGATACCACTTTTTTTTATCCTGCGGGAGGAGGAGATCCTGTTTTTCCAAGACTGATTATAAGTGTAGACAAGAATTTCACTTTATCGCCAAGCTCTGTCTTCGAGGATATTCTCAAATTAGAACAAATATCATGTACCAAGTTACAAATCTGTTTGGCCAAACAATAAGGTCCATTCACACCGAGAATCCAATCTTTCTCATATCGAACATAATAGAGTTAAATAGACTCTACGGTTTTCTACCTCTACTGAGCCAAAAAGAGAAGGGGGATCCTGTGAGTGTCTATCTGGAAACTCAAATCACTCGAAGCTAGAAATTAAGGGGCCAGCTTTGAGGCATGAAAGATTGGATGGACTTAATAAAGGTGTGAGGGGGGTGGACATCAATGAGAAAGGAAGGTCTCTACCTTTCCGGTTCACTACAGCCAAACACATTTCCATTCTCCATCCTTTTCTGTTCTATCGATCAAACAGAATTGCTACCTGGCTCCCCCATTTGACTGGTTCGATCCAATTAGGAGGATTATTGGCAGTGGGCAACTTAGAAAGCAAGGATGTAGCAACAGCAAATGAGTGCTCTAGCTAAACTCAATTATGCAGTGGTTTGTTCAAAGCCTGGGAAATCACGGAGACAGGAAGTAGTACCAATGGATAATGGAGTCTTCTATTGCGGGCACGCACGCAGCCATAGAAAGCACAAGGTTAAAGCACTAGTACCTTTGTTGGTTCGGAAAATAGTCAGCGGGCCTCCGACCTTCCAGGAGGCGGAAACGAAACGACGGCCGCCGTTCAGATTTATCAATGGCAGGCCTTGTCGGGCCCGGCCTCCTAAGAGTTCGGGACTACGCTAAAACTGGTCGAAACCGGACGACAAAGGTACTAGTGGTTTAAGGGGCAGGAAAACAGATGGATTCGTGGAACACATGCACGCGCGCACACACACACACACACACACACACACACACACACACACACACACACACACACACACACACACACACACACACAAACAAACATGTGTGCGGGTACGTCCTCGTCCTTATTACTGTTTCCACTTTTGTTTCTGTCTGTCTTCCGCACTACAACCCCATCTCATACACAATCAATGATTTCCTAACATAGCAAACAAAGAGTTTGAAAGAAGACCTAAGCCTTTCACACATGCAAACCAGGAGGATCTAGTGGAACACCATGCCCACAACCCAGATAGATATATTCTGCAATCCGCAAGAGTGAGTGCTTACGTTCTGGACTCCATTATTGTTCCTCACCTCCAATCTTGATGTCATCGCCTGGTGATTTATCAGTGGGGGAGCAGGGCTTCGAGACCGCCTGGGAGAGCAGAGTATATGCCTCAACAATGCTTGCAATCATCCTGTTTTGTACAATCTGCCTGCGCCATACCGGTACCTTGCACGAGGGGCAACTCGACCCCAACAGCTTCAGTGAACCACTGATGCAGACACTGCCAAGGCCAGAACAACACAAACAAATGGTAAGGAGATGTTTCGCAGGACCACGCCACAAAACTGCTATGAGAAGAGGAGAAAGAGGAGGAAGAAGAGGCAGTTGCAGTGGCAGGTGTGGCTGCGAAAAGCCCTGCATGCCATAATGATGAATTCACTACAAATCCCAGATAAGGGAGTCTTCCTGGAATTGAAGTTCTTTTGCGCTGACGCAAAGAACAGTAGAAAGAAACACGGCCATTCTTGATATACAGTACAGCCCCCCCCTCCCCTCTTCTCTCTCTCTCTCTCTCTCTCTCTCTCTCTCTCTCTCTCTCTCTCTCTTTTTTTTTTTTTTTTTTTTTTTTTTTTTTTTTTTTGAAAACGAACTCCCCAGTTGAGTCAGAATCCATCAAGGGGGTGTGTTATACCTTCCAGGCTATGCTGCACAGAAACCTGCACACCCATCCTTTGTTCCCCTGACACATGTAGTGTTACATACTGCATTCCACACGGGCCCTTTCAGGCTCGACGACCAGGCTGAGGGGTTCCGAGGGCCTTGACACAATAGGGCCTTGCGCAACCGGTTCCATACCAGGCCCTGCAGCCGCAGGCCCTGGGCGGGAAATGGCCAAACGTTTTCGTTTGGACCAGGCCGCCATTCAGGCAGCCTGTTTCCCGAAAACCGGTCCAACCTGGACCACGGATCGGACGATAGATCCTACGGTTCAGATCGGAGGCCACCTTCGGAGGCAGAGGCCGAACTGGCCGCCAGCCGGTATTTAGGCCCAGCCAACAGCCATTTCCAGGAAGGGGAGCGCGGAAGCACTGCGGAGCGAAACGCTGCGCTATTTCTGTTCCAGTGCAGCGCTAGACAGCAGCGCTAGGTGTAGTGCTGGCTGCAGAGAGAGAGAGAGCGGGGAGGGAGACTTACCTGACAGCCACCGCGAGCGCCATAGCTCCCAGCGTCACAGCCATCTCCAACAACAGCCAAGGTGCCACCTTTCATCATCAGGTAGGGCCTAGGGCTCCTCGCCATCTCCACCGATGCTCTGCCCCTCTCAGGTCTTCTTCTTCTTCTTCTTCGTCTTCTTCTTCTTCTCCAGCCCCCTTCTTCCTCTTTTACAGATGAGAGACTTTGGGTACGAGATGGACAGAGATCAGTGATTGGACTTCGGTGGTAGGAGGATGTGATACAAACGGATTCGAGACATTGGAGATCTTTGGGATTGATACCTGGCGGCATCACAGATCGGACATCGGTTACATTAGGATTCTGTACCTCCAACATTGGTGACTAGTGTCTACGACATTCCGATTGTTCAGTGACATTTTGGGCTACTATATCGGTGACATTCGGGATTCTATTTCGGTGACATCTGGCGCTGTCCCTCCCACCTAGATTGTCTCTCCTCCCACCATTCATCTGTGTATAGGTGTACGGGGCTGAAGCATCATCTATGTATGGCTTCAGACCCCACCATCTCATGATTGTTTATGTGTTGAGTGATGTCTAGGTGGGTTCAGTCTATGTGAGTCAGTCCATATCTCAGACTTCCGCTGCATATATGTTCATCCTATATTGGTTGATCTTTGGTTCTGCCCATACTTGG